TATCTCTCTGATGGCCAATGATTGTGAATGTCTCTTCATGTATTTGCTGGTCACCTAAATATTCTCCTCAGTGAAGTGTCTATACATGATTTCTGCCCATTTTTCAATTGGATTGTTAATCCCTTTGCTGTTGAGGCATTGGAGTTTACTATAAATCTTAAGAGATAAGTCCCTTGCCAGATATGTAATTATCTGCAAGTATGAATTTGTTGCTGTCATTTTGTTATGTGCTTTTTTGTGGTGTTGATTTCTTTGTTTCATATAGTTTTCTGTGCTGAACTTGTTTTATTTATTCATATAACTTTTATTTTTTTAAGAGTTTTCAGCATAGCTTTCATCATTTGCAGCAAATAAGGAAGCAGAGAATAGCTCTCTAACCACTGTTTGCGTCATACAGCTTTTTAAAACTTAACTTCCTAGATTGTTTTCTAAACAGTTGTTTCTTAACTTCGTAGATTGTGTTTGTCCGCATAGAGAATTATGTCCATGTTTCACGTATGGTCAAAAATTATTATGTATTTGTTTAAAAGAGGAGTAAAGATAGAAGAGAATCTATCTTTGAGAAAAATTCAGTCTAACGAAGGAGATGGTATAATAGAGGGAGTCCCGTACTGGATACTTAGGCTCTAATGCCATCCTAGGAGCTCTGGTAGCATAGTGCCTAAGGCACTTGACTGCTAACCAGAAGGCTGGCGGTTCAACCCCACCAGCCACTCCTCGGAAGGAAGATGGGGCAATCTACTTCCGTAGTGATACTGCCTGGGAAACCCAAGGAGGGGTCGCTATGAGTCACGTCTGACTCAAAGGCACATAACAACAACAACAACAATGCCATCCTTACCGTAACTATCTTTGTGACTCTGTCCAATTTCTTAGCTACTTTGAGCTTCAGTTTCTACATCTGTAAATGGGAAAGTTGTTAAATGATGTCTAAGAATGTTTTCTCTTCACTTTGATTATTTATGTTTTCAAGAATTACTAAGTGCCTATGTGCCAGGCATTGTTTTGAATGTTAGAAATACAGTAGACAATGAGCCAGGCATAGCTCCTGCTCTCCTTAATTTTGTTTTATAATTAGATGTGGGATGTCTTTCTCTGTCACTCGAAAGCAGAAATTGTCATCTGAAGAATGCCTGAGTTCTAGTCCTGGCCTTGCATCTAATTTGAGTAGAACATTTGCAAGTTATTTTAATGCTCTGTTCCTTTAGTTTCCTTTCTGTAAAATGAGGAAAATAACACCTGACTTGTTTACCTTATACAGTTGTTTTAGGAGTAATGAAATAATGTGTGTAGAAGTGCATTGGAGTATAATAGTATATAGTAAGATGTGTAGATTATTTTATTTTGCTATAATATTTTACCATATAATTTATTAACGCTTGATTGGGAGAATCCTAGATTCACTTAATCTTTGAACTTCAGGGATGTTTGAAAAATATAAAGTATTTGTTTTTTTCTCTCTTCACAGAAAAAGATAATGCTGAATATGTTTTTAGACACAATGATGGCAGACCCTCCTCCCCAGTGCCTTGTCTGGCTCTCTCTCATGCACAGGCTTGCCCATGTTGAGAATGGTAAGAAGAACTTTTATAATTCACTTCCTTACACTATTAAAATAACAAAACAACAACAGCAGACCAAATTCACTGCCATTGAGTCAAATCTGACTCAGAGTGACCCTATAGGACAGAGTAGAACTGCCCCATAGGATTTACAGGGCTGTAAATCTTTACAGGAGCAGGCTGCCTCATCTTTCTCTTGTGGAGTTGCTGGTGGGTTCAAACTACCAAACTTCTGGTGAGAAACTGAATGCTTTAACCATTGTGCCACCAGAGCTCTTTAGCCTTACATTGTAAGAAGTATGCAAGTTTATTGTTTGTTAAAACCAAACCAAACCAAACTCACTGCTATTGAGTTGATGCCTACTCATTGTGACCCCCTTTGGGTTTCCAAGGCTGTAAATCTTTACATAAGCAGACTGCCTCATCTTTCTTTCATGGAGTAGCTAGTGGGTTTGAACCACTAGCCTTTTGGTTTGCAGCTAAATGCCTTAAACACTACACCATCAGAGCTCCTTGATTATTTATAAAGTCCTTAGCTTTTATCACTGACAATTGAAATTGAAATTTGTTAGCACTCCATCCCCTTCTGAATCCAACTTGCATTTCAGAAGTTCTCTGTCAGTACATTGCTGCAACCATTTTTGAATTATCTTCAGTAAGATTTTAGTTGCATGCCATATTAATGATATTGTTTGATAATTTCCACATTCTGTGGGACATGGAACGAGGAATATCGTTGCTGATGTCAGATGGATCTTGGCTAAAATCAAAGTACACCAGAGAGATGTTTACTTGTGTTTTATTGACTACACAGAAGCATTCGATTGTGTGGATCATAACAAATTATGGATAACATTGAGAAGAATGGGAATTCCAGAACACTTGAAGAACTCATGAGGAACCTGTACATAGACCAGGAGGCTATTGTTCAAATAGAACAAGGGGACACTGTATGGTTTAAAATCAGGAAGGGAGTATGTCAGGATTGTATCCTTTCACCATACTTATTAAATTTGTATGCTGGGCAAATAGTCCGAGAAGCTGGACTATATGTGAAGAAGAACATGTCATCAAGATTGGAGGAAGGCTCATTAACAACCTGCGATACACTGAAGACACAACTTTGCTTGCTGAAAGTGAGGATGACTTGAAGAAGTACTTACTGATGAAGACTACAGTCTGGAATATGGATTACACCTCAGTATAAAGAAAACAAAAATCCTTACATTTGGACCTATAAGCAGCATCACGATAAATGGAGAAAAGATTAAAGTTGTCAAAGACTTCATATTACTTAGTTCTACATTCAACACCAATGGAAGCAGTAGTCATTGTATCAGATGACATGGGCAAATCAGCTGCAAAAGACCTCTTTCAAGTGCTGAGGAGCAAAGATGTCTCCTTGAGGACTAAGGTGTGCCTGACACAAGCCGTGGTATTTTCAGTGACCTCTTATGCATGTGAGAGCTGGACAATGAATAAGGAAGACTGAAGAAGAGTTGATGCTTTCAAGTTTTAATGTTGGAGAAGAATACTGAAAGTACCATGGACTGCTAAAAGAACTAACAAGTCTGTGCTGGAAGAAGGGCAGCCAGAATGCTCCTTGGAGGCGAGAATAGCCAGCCTTTGTCTCACCTACTGTGGTCATGGAGTAAGAAGGGACTATTCCCTAGAGAATGATATTATGCTTGGTAAAGTGCAGGGTCAACCAGAAAGGGGAAGACCCTCGACAAGATGGACTGACACAGTGGCTGCAACAATGGGCTCTGGTATAGCAAGGATCGTGGGGCTGGCACAGGACTGGGCAGTGTTTCGTTCTGTTGTGCATAGGGTTTCTATGAGTCGGGGACGACTTGATGGCACCTAACAACAATAGCACTCCATCACAGTCCTATGGTTTTAGCTTTCAAAAGAGGAATATTTATTTATTTAAAAAAAAGAAAAAGAAAGAACGTGGTATTTATTATTTAGACAGGATGCCAAGAAGTAGTAGAGTCATTAAATATTATGGTTCAACCTCTAGGTTCTAGTTCAAACCCTAGATTCCATATGGTTGTTTTCTGCTTGAACCTATGACCTCTGTTTTTTTTTAAATGATCAAATCTTAGTTCTGAAAATTAGATATATTCAATATCAACAATTAAAACTATAATTATTTCAGAAAAAAATATACAGTAGATAAGATATAACTTAGCTCTAGGTTCTACATCTTTATTTTTTTTCATTTATTATTTTACTTTCAGTCTACTCTTAGTATTTTTCTGAATGATTTCATTTAAACCTTCATTTTGCTTTGAACTGAAATGGTAATTATCTCTTACAACCAAAGACCCACTTGCCATTGAGTTGATTCAACTCATGGTGTAAAGCGCTTAGCTGCTAACGAAAAGGTTGGCGGTTCAAGTCCATCCAGAGGTGTCTCGGAAGAAAGATCTAGAAATCTACTTCTAAAAAAAATTAGACATTGAAAAACGCCATGGAGCACAATTCTACTCTGACACATAGGGAGCTGCCACTTATCTCTTGGTAACTTCTCATTTTCGTTGCTGTTGCTATCAGTTTACCTCCTTTTTAAAATTGTTTTGCGTTTATTAAAGGGAATGTCCTAGGTTTTTTTTTTTAATACAACCTGTATTATTGTTTAATACAGCCTCCCTTCTCTCAAGGTTCTTACCTGTCTTTATTCACTCCATAAAAGAGAACAAGGAGGAATAGTGTAGAAGCCATTTAAAAGCAGTCTTCTCTTTCCCTCCCTGTAAGAATGAAGTATATACTTCCATGCTCTTCATCTTCTCCCCTTCCTTTCCATACATTTCTTTTTAAGTTTTCAGTCTTTTACCTAAATATGGCTTTAATTCACAGGTACCTCAGATTCAGGATTATGTGCTCAGAGAACTGGAATCTTTTGTATAGACTAAGCTCCAAAAACCAAACTCACTGCCATCGAGTTGATTCCGACTCATAGACCCTCTTTGGGTTTCCGAGGGGGTAAATCTTTATGGAAGTAGATTGCACAGTCTTGTTTCCCTGAAGTTGCTGGTGAGTTTGAACTGCCAGCCATCTGGTTAGCAGTCAGATGCCTTAGGCACTACACTACCAGAGCTCCATGTATAGACTGAAACAGCTAAATTTTTTAGCATGATTTTGAGATAGAAATTTAAATTAAGAAATTATTATGATGTTATTGGCTTTTGGAGGCAGTGCTTTTCTAGCCTTAAATGTTTTAGTAGTTTCATACCTAAGCCATTGTCATAAAATCATTTGTATCTGGTAAACAAAGTAGAATTTCATTTGTTGTTAGCCATACGAATATCTTGTTGTGTCTTTATATATAGAGTATTTTTTAATGATTACTTTCTTGTGTGGTCAGTGATATTATTTTTTCTGAGAAATGTTATGAAATCATTGAAGTTCTAGAAATAAAACATGTTACTTGTCTCACTAAAATTTGCTTTATATGTTTTATTTTTTGTGATAGGAAGCAAGTTTTAAAATTAATGGTATTTTTGATAGAGAGGGAGAACAATGTAGAACAAAACTCAAAACCATTTGGAGGAAAAAAAAAGGGGGGCAGGGGGACCAGGTTTGCTGGTCCAATAGAGCCTGGTGAAACCACTGAGACTATGGCCCCTAGATGCCCTTCAGGTTTGGAATTGAACCCACACCTGTGGTTTCCAGCCAAACAAAAGACAGGCATATGAGTTGAACATTTACTTCAGGTAGATACATTCCTTGGAGAGAACAATCATGGGAGAAAGAAGGGCTGCTTATGCACAGGGAAACAGCTCAGGGGGCAGGAGTGCATGGAGGGATGGACACTGGGAAGGGGTAACTATAGGGAGGAAGAGGGAGGGAAGCTGTTGCATTGTGGTAAACTGTGGTCAATGTCATGAGACAAAGTATGTGTGAACTGGTGTATGGAAAGTGAATCTGCTTGTAAATCTTCACTCAAATCACACACACAAAAAAGTATTCTTAGATTTTTTTTTTTTTTTTGCTTTGGGCCCTTTAATACACTTGCGAAATTCAGCACTTTAATTATATTGAAGTTACTATTCATCAAATACTCATTTCCTTAAGCAACAGTTGCATTTTTTATATTTATTTACTAATCCAAATGTATATTACTTATATGAAGATAACTACCACATGGTGCATGCTACCAAATTTTACCAGAGCCTGCCTAATCTCTATTGTTCTTATTTATAACCTGACCCAGCACATGTGGGCTTTTTTTTCCTCATTCTGGTTCTCTGCTTTTCTACCTGGCCACCCATTCCCCTGCTTTGTGTGAATACCGTGCTCTTGATTAGTTTAGAAGAGAATTGAAGAAAACCGTATAGACATACATGTTCAACACAAATTATCAGAATATAGTTGATAATTTAATGTTAGTAGACATATTTCATTTAGTGTTCACCCCCAATTATTGTTTTTTATTTATAGTTTATCCATTTATTTAAGTGTGTGACTCAGTGGGTTTTAGTATATTCAGAGACATTAACTATTTCCACACACAATTTTAGAACATTTTCATCACCCCACAAAGAACCCCACACCCATTAACAGTCACTCTCCATTCTTTTTTCCCCTGCCACAGCCCCTAGCAACTACCATCCAAATTATTAGTTAAAATTATAAATACTGGCTGCTCTAATCTCTGATGTTGACTACATTGATGTTAACTCCAGACTGATAAGGGAATAGTGTTCTCTAGTGCAACTATACTAGTTTGTATAGTTTTAATTTAAAGGACACACTCTGGTTAGCACTTTGATACTTTAGAAGTATGTCATTGACAGGAAGCTTTAATTTCTTAGAGGAAATTCATTCTTTGTATTTCTCATTTCTTATTTTATTTCTTTGATGCTCTTGTTACATTGTTTTCCTCACCTAGTCCTTTTTTTTTTCCCCCAGTTAGTTTTGATTCCCTAGCTAACACACATTTTTGGAAGCAAGATTAAGTATCCTTATAATTGAGATGAAATGGCTAAGACTAGCTTTTTATCTATAGTGCTAAAAAGAGTTGTTCAAAAAATATGAATACTATATTCCTCTTCGCTGTTGACTTTTATTTCTTATGTTCAGAGTTGATTGCCAGAGGGAACAATTCTTATACCAACATTTAAAAGTAATCTATAATATACAGTTGTGCATTGCCCATGATAGTATCTCCACTTTCCACTCAGTGAACTACAGCTTCTGAATAGTCCCTCATATAAGAGACGCCCAGTAATTTCTGTGAATCCTTACTGCAGTTTTCCATAAGGTAATGTGCTGTGTTAGGTGGCAAAAAGAGCATAGGTTGCTGAGTTACCTTCCTCCAAATAGCTGTCCCTTTGTTGGTGTAGGGTATTTTATTTTTTGTGGCATTAAGAGCTCTGACTTAAAACTAATACTTAACTATGTTTGCCCTTACTTTTCACCATTTATCATTTGTGCCCAGGTATGTGACAACATTTAATTCAGCATACTTTTTAAGGCCTTTAGTCCAATGAATTATGTAAAATACTGTTTGCAGGTAACAAACACATAACACACAATCCTTGCTCTCAAGGATTTTATAGGTATTGAAAGAAACAGATGCATACACATTCAAAAATAAACCATCCCTAAAACCAACAGCAAGGTTGGAAAAGCAATCTTTGGGTGAAGACTTCTCTCTCTTCCTCATTTCTATGCTTATCTAAACTTTAAGAAACATGAGTTTCAAGAAGTGTTCACGATCATTAGCCATCAGAGAGATGCAAATCAAAATGACAATAAGATACCATCTCACCCCAGGACTAATTGGAAAGTTCAACAAGACAGAAAATAACAAATGCTGGCAAGGATGTGGAGAGATTGGGACTCTCATACACTGCTGGTGGGACTGTAAAATGGTACAACCACTGTGGAAAGCAGTATGGTGATTCCTTAAAAAGCTGGAATTAGAAATAGCATTTGACCCAGCAATCCCATTCTTATATATATGTCCTAAAGAACTGAGAGCCAGCACAAGAACAGATATATGCACACCCATGTTCACCACAGCACTGTTTACAATAGTAAAAAGACAGAAGCATCCTAAGTGCCCATCAACAGAAGAATGCATAACCAAACTATGGTACATACACACAATGGAGTACTATGCAACACTAAAGAATAATGTAGAATCTGCAAAACACCACATAACATGGATGAACTTGGAGGACATTCAACTAAAAACTCAGTGCCATCGAGTCAAATCCGACTCATAGTGACCCCTCCTTGGGTTTCCAAGGCAGTATTACTACGGAAGTAGATTACCCAACCTTCCTTTCGAGGAGTGGTTGGTGGGTTTGAACCACCAGCCTTCTGGTTAGCAGTCAAATGCCTTAGGCACTATGCTACCAGAGCTTCTTATGCTGAGCGAAATAAGTCAATCACAGAAGGACAAATATAGTATTAGTTCATTATTTTAAAAAGTCAAGGAAAGGTTTATATACGGAAGGATAGTTAGTTTGTTGGTTACCAGGCCGGGGAGGGGAGGGGAGGGAATACTGCAAAAAATAAAAAGCATTGACCTATGTAATTTTAATTTTGTGTATTTTACTGTACATAAATTATATTTCAATAAAATATATTTTTTTAAAAAATAATAACAATACAAAAAATTTGACTTTCATTAAGAAAGAAATTGATGATTTTCACAAGAATTAAAAGCAATAAAGGTGAGTATTATTACATACACAATCCGGCAATGATAGTCATAACAATGATTTAGGAGTGGATGCATAGATAGACACTCAATGTGAACAGGGCTGGGAAGGTGAATAGGACTACACCCATAAATGAATGAATGAATGAATAAATAAATATATATATATATATATATTTATATATAAATATAACAACCAGCCACTCCTCGGAAGGAAGGTTGGGCAATCTACTTCCGTAGTGATACTGCCTCAGAAACCCAAGGAGTGGTCGCTATGAGTTGGGTCGACTCCACAGCACATAACAACAACAACATATATATACATACATATACATACATACATATATATACATACATATATATATATATATGTATATATATGTTTGACAAAGGCTTACTCTACCTGTATATTTCTATGTGCTGTAAATATATCCATGTGTAGTAGAGCAGACCATGTACAAAGTTATGCAAATGTCTTAGTCATAACCAAACACTGTGAGGGAATGAGTCGCTGGATATTGAGTTTGTCATTTTCAAAGGTGGATTGGAATATAACACGCTAAATTGAAAGAGTTTGTTTTTTATTATTTAAGTCTTGTTGTTGTGAATGGCTGGTTGCATTAACTAGCTAGCAGGCAATTTAGATGTTTTGGTTCTGATGTTGTCTTCATCCTTCCCTTTATATTACATTTGTTTTTTCTCTGTATTGACTTTATTCTCCAATTGAAAATTCTTTCTTTGTTCCTGTTATCTCATCCCTTCTCCCCTCCCTGCTTCTTTTCCCCTTTCCTCTCCCTTCTGCTAGTCTTCCATCCTGTGGAGTGTTCCTACTGCCGATGTGAGAGTATGATGGGCTTCCGGTACCGATGCCAGCAGTGCCACAACTACCAGCTCTGCCAAAACTGCTTTTGGCGTGGCCATGCCAGTGGCCCTCACAGCAACCAACACCAGATGAAGGAGCATTCCTCTTGGGTAACTCTGTTTTGTGTTTCAGTCTGTCCCTGACTGTTCATCAATGACAGCTCTTGGGCCAGTTTCCTATAGATTACTACCAGGAAAGGATATGATATATTAATAAAATCTTAGTACTAACATTTATACTGGGAGTTGCAAAAGTGCTGTGTTGCTTCACTTGATTTTGAAAGGAGGATTTTAAAATTGCTGGAGGTGGAGATATTAGTTACATTTGAAGTGGTCCCTTTCTTTAGTAAAATTAAATATTTCAGTGCTCCCAGTCCAAAGTGAAAAGTTAGTTTCTTTTCATTTTGAAATTGTTCAAGAAGTATCTCCCCAAATGCTTAGTCTTCTGAACTTTGAAATTCTTTTTTTTTTTCCCCTAAGCAATTTTTCTTTGTTTATAGACATTAAATGTTGAAAGAACACTGCATAAAATAAAGGAGTTAAAGTCTTTGCCTGTTTAAGGTTGGGGAAAATATTGTACTTTACAGCCATTGCCATAATTGGGATATATTCTGACCCTCAAAATAGTCTTTAGATAACAATATTTGGGTAGCAGTTGATGTTTGATTTTTCTGTGACATGCTTAGTAACATCATCTTTTTTTTTTTTTTTTTTTTCTTGTTCAGTTGATTTCCAGAGTTTTAAAACTCTGGTAAACTGTGTTTTAAAATAGAGTTTTAAAACTCTATGGTAAAAATGCCATACTTTTCTTTTCCCAAAAATTGCTGTAGTGTTTGTTTTAAAACCTTCCCCTCTAGTTTTGGTTTGTTAGTTGGTTGGTTTGCTCAACACTAGAAAAATACATAGAGTCAGAAGTGTAATTCATAATCTGTGTTCTTAAGCTTGATCATCCTGCTGGATTTCAAGATCAGAAAGTTTCAGTAACCAGGATTTCTTTCCTTCTGTCTTCTTAAAATCCAACCAAGAAAAAGCATATGATCTCAAATCAGGCATTAGTGGGTTTTGTTTTGTTTGTTTTTTAAGAAAAGAAACATTTTGACTTGTGTATACATTATGTATATCTCTGATGATATATTACAGTTTTTTTTAATTAAGTAGGTTTTTAGTTATATACAGTTAACCATGTTGTTCTTTATACAGTCCAGCTTCTCAGATTATTTGTTCACATACAAATTGAATAAGTGAGGTGAAAGGACACAACCCTGACACACACCCTTCCTGACAGTATACCTTTGTTCTATTCTAACAACCACGTCTTTATCTATGTACAGGTTCGTCATGAGCATAATGAAGTGTTCTGGAATTTCTGTTCTTCACAATGTTATCCGTAATTTGTTATAATCCACACAATCAAATGCTTTTGCACAGTCAATAAAACACAAGTAAGCATTTTTCTTTTATTCTTTGCTTTCAGCCAAGATCCATCTGACATCAGCAATGGTATCCCTTGTTCCACATCCTCTTCCAAATCCAGCTTGTATTTCTGAAAGTTCCATGGTAGTATACTGCTGCAATAGTTTTTGAATTATCATCATCAGAGTTTTACTTGTGTGTGATATTAATGGTGTTGTTTGATAATTCTGCATTATCACCTTTCTTTTGGAATGGGCACAGATATGGATCTCTTCCAGTCAGTTGGCCAGGTAGCTGTCTTCCAGATTTCTTGGCATAGACAAGTAAGTGCCTCCAGTGCTGCATCCATTAATTGAAACATCTCAGTGGAAATTCTATTAATTCCTGGAGGCTTGTTTTTCACTGATTCCTTCGTTGCAGCTTGGATGACGACTTTCAATGCCATTCCTTCCTGATTACATGCTACCTTCTGAAATGGTTGAATATCAATCAACTTTTTTTGGTACAGTGACTATGTATGTTCCTTCCATCTTCTTTTGATGTTTCCTGCATCATTCAGTATTTTTCCCATAGAATCCTTCAGTGTTGCAACTTGAGACTTCATTTTTTTCCTTCAGTTCTCTCAGCTTGAAAAATACCAAACATGTTCTTCCCTTTGGATTTTCTAATTCCAGGTCTTTGTACATTTCATTATGATATTTTATTATGTCTTCTTGAGCTGCTCTTTGAAATCTTCTGTTCAGCTCTTTTACTTCATCATTTCTTCCATTCACTTTATTTTTTA